ACCCTAGTTTGTAAAATCTAGCGGGTGGCGCGGCGTTGTACTCGCTCGACTTGGGCCTTTAGGGTGACTTAAGCGGGCGACCAGACTTGCGTGGCGTAGCACAGCTGAGACTTGACCAGCGACAAGTATAGCGTGCGCCGAACAGTCACGTCGGTTATTGGGGGGCATGTTCGCTTTAAAAGCTCAAGGAGCTTGTTGGCCTTCGCAGTACTAGCGTGGATGTGGGGTTTCCAAGAGAGCGAACTTGTGATTTGAACACCCAGATCTTTTTCGGTAGAAACGCGCTCAATTTGAGCACTGTCCAGGGTGTACTCGTGAACCAGGGGGGATTTTTTACGGGTGACAGTAAGTGATTTACATTTAGAGGTGTTAAATTCAATGCGATTACACTTTGACCAGTTGTTTAGGCTGCCTAGAGTAGCTTGCAGAGACTGACAATCACAAAAAGAGGTGACGCTTTTGTACAGCTTGGTGTCGTCAGCTTACGTGTTGACTATCCTGCCAAGTTATATCGCTATTATGGGAGCGATGCAACAATTTCAGGACTGCAGTCACCTTTTGTGATACAGCAATATGAAAGGTAAGGTGATATTATGTTAAATAAGCTGTAGACTGGATGTAAAATGCGAAACAATTGAGTTTGCGTGTGAATGTGTACATTTTGAATAACTGACGACACAGTCAAATCGCCTCATTTTATCCAACTTTAAAATTTGATTAAATCGCACAGAATCATTACCCAAAAAAATCCTCTGGAGATAAAAAAAGAACCACACTTCGCCTTCCAAAAGCCAGATTTTCAGTCGATTATTTTATTTACCTCATAGTTAAATCACGGGTTACTTTAGACCTATTTTTAATCTTGTTAGAAGAGGTTCGGATAAATTCAATTAGATTGTGTAAATTAATGATCAAGAATTGCTCAAATTGCTGTCAACACATGTATTGATCTTGTTTTTCAAGATTTGGTCTTTTTATCGGTCCAAGTGTTTTCAATTCGTGGCGCGACGCTCCGAGATTCGTCTGAAATTTTGAGCTTCAAAAGCGGCAATTTGGCGAAATTCAGTTGTTATCGATTTTCTCCAAAATAAATCGATATTCAGCGAAACGAAGTATGCAGTGCTTTGTTTCACCATAAGGCCTACCTAACTTGAGAATATGAGCCGAATCGATTTTTGGCTGATGCCTCAATATTTTGAAAATGTTCGATTTTTGGCCACATTTGCTCTTAAGTGCCATCTTATTTGTGAGAAGTTGACACTGCGATCATTGTCAGCCTTGCATGATAAGCTGAAAATGAAAAAAGCTTTCAATTCGATGTAAAAACCATTATTTTATTCATCAACGTCGAATCGAAATTTATTTAATTTAATTCTTGTTTTCCAAACAAAGACCACAGCTAAACTACTAGAAAATTATAATGTGAGCGGCTATTCGCTGTTCATATCAATTATTTAAGTTGAATTTAAATACAAATTAGCACTTGGTCAAATCCTCTGGCAAACACAAACAAACATAAGTTGTACTACTGTTGGAAATTGCAATATTAATTAGGGAACTTTCTCTTTGCCACTTTTTTAATGATGGAATTGGCAATATATTGAGATATGCTGTCATATTCTGACGCCGATTATTATGTAGAAATATTCTTCTTGTATTGCAATCAATCCTGAAGTACAAAAAAACCTTCATGAAATGCACGACTTTAAAGAAAAAGGAGTGGGAAGTTAGAGACAGTTAATCTCTCGAAAGTGGGGGACATAAAACCAACATAACCTAAGAACAACTAGAAACTGAGTTAGCGATATCCCTTTGAAATAATTAGCTGTTAAAGTTGACTAGATTCCTCATTCGAATTCCTTTTTTCGCTGTTAAAATCTAATTTCAGGAAATTGATCGATCTGAAACTGAAGAAAACTCCGAATTAACCAGTTATAGTCAATTTTATTTCATACGCATTCTTGTAGTTTATTAATATACACAAGCAACGAAACCATCTTTGCATATTCATACATATTACGGACATTATTCTGATAACAAACAAATTGGAGACTAAACGATCACCTATGTAACTCGTTTGGGAATAAGGCGTCGATAGCGAGCGCTTTCTTCAAGTAAGAAAAAATAAAAATGAAATTGTTTATCGTAACAAAGAAGTGCCTCGAAAAACTCAAACTACACTTTAAAGTTTTATCCAATACCTGCACTAAAAGGAGATTAAATATGAAAGTAAAAATTTAGTGAACACTGCAAGCAATTTTATTTTAACGATTACTCGATCGATTAGAAGCGAGAGCCCTACAGGGGTTTGCGCAACAGAAATCAATGGTATTGTTCAACGATTGTCATAAATCAACGTAAAAAAAGCATGAATTAACGGGTAAAATATTCACAGCAGACTATCAGTGTACAAACCTGGAACAACAAACAATATTATTCGAGCTTCTTATTTTTACCATCTTCTAGCATATTTGACTAGCGTTCTTATGTATTAATTGTGAAGTTATGACTCTCAACTTTGAAAGTACTTCTACAAATATAACTCGGAGGGTCTAACTCCATGGTGCCTGTCTGTTTGTCTGCTTCACTGCTTGTCTTACTTCACTAATCCTCCAGCAGTAAAAGAACGGGTTTAACGTCGAGTTAAAGTAAACTAAGACAGCTTCTACTTCCCCTATGACTTCTAAGTGTGATGAAAATGTTTGACATAATGATTAAAATTGCCACTATAAAATATGGTGCATAACAAACTACTATTGCTAACTGCATAATTGTGACTTTGTGACTCTCAGCTTTAAAAGAACTAATAGAAATATTACTCGAGGAGGATCTAACTCCATAGACAGCAAAGTGTTTGTCTGATCGTCTGCTTCACTCCTTGTCTTACTTCAATAATCTTCCAGCAATAAAGAAATGGGTTTAACGTCGAGTTAAAGTAAATTAAGACAATTGATACTCCCCTTATGACTACTGAGTGTGATGAATATATTTTACTTTGAGAGATCACAATTTCCAGCATAAGGTATGGTGCATAACAAACTAATGCTAACTGCACCCACAGAGCATTGTACACTGCCTTCTTGTATCGCGCCATGTTCAGTGCATTTGGTTGGCTCGGCTGTCGTTGGACATGATCTTGTACTTGAGCCTGATGATGACTGAGACCCCGAAAAATTTTTATATATGAGGCGAATGAAATAACAAGGCAAGACGGTATAATTATATAGCCAAACCAAATGGTTATACGGTAATCTAATGCGTAGCATAAAGCAGCGACGCTAGATACAATCCAAAAGATAGCTACAATGATATATGTGCGCGTCAAAGTTACACTTTGTCCATATCTCAACCCCAACAACAGGGCGAGAAGCCTGTCCACGCTTATGGCCATCATCGTCATTAAAGACACTCCACATAATGCAGAGCCTGTGGTGTAGGCTGCGTCAAATGCGTATCGACAAAGACTCCAGTGTTCCTGAGCCACAGACATACAATAAGTAGCGTAGAGAGGCTGGGCTACAAGACCAACAGATAGATCAGTTGTTGCCAGACAACGATACAAGAGTTTTGACGGCGGATGCAGGGAAGATTCTTTGTGAAGGGCAACGAGGATAAGAAAGTTCCCAAGAAGTGCTGTAATGGAAAGGAGAATGCAGATTGTGAACAAAAAAATTTTAAATTCTTGTTGAAGCACACCAACCAGAGGAGGGAAGCAGTGAAGTTCTTGTAATGTTTTCGCCTGTGTTCCACCCCCATCGAAATTTGTTGTCCACATTATTCTTTGTTCGTTCCCTTTTTCTTGGATTAAGGTTATCTGTGAATGCAACGAGAAATGTTTCGTCTAAAGAGCAACACAACGACGATCACTGAAACCTTACTCATTTCCTACATAATAATCATATAAAGACTTCCTCATCATCGTTTACTCCACGGCAAAAAACCGTCGTTCACTGTTAATTTTACGAAATTCAACATTAAACTAACGTTTTCCGATATCTGAAAACGTACGGCAAATTCACTGCCCACCCTCAGTAAAACTCCGGAAAAACAAGAAGTTCATCTCAAGTTATCCAGCACCAGGAAAACTCCAATCATTAGCCTGTTCTCCTGAACGTTTTCTACAGTTTTCCCGTGCGCGCGAACGCAGCATTTTCCAAGCGTTTGCCCACAAAAAAACCAACGGTGAATGCCATGAAAACAGGATGTTTGTCGATTGTTTTCCTGTTCGACGAAAACGCTAATGTATAGCTTGTTTTCCTGAACATTTTACTATGGTTTTCCATAGCAAAATGTTCAGAAAAACGTCACAGAGAAAACAATAATAATAATCTTTATTTAGCAATAATTTCCATAAAATCCTCTACAATACAAAATGTTAACAGCGTAAAAAACGATCCAAAATAACTCACTTTTGGCTCACATCTACTCCTTTTTTTAATGTCAAAGTGTCTAGAAAATACAGAGAAAACTGTCTGTTGTGTCAAAAAGCCTATATTTGTCAATTTAACTTGTCAGGTACCGGCCGTACTAAATAGGAATAAGAGGCAAATATATAAAAACACTTCTAACATTACTTTTTTTTCCTAAAATTCCTCTTTACTTAGCCTACGGGCAGGCATTCATTGTCAGCGCTTCAGTACGAGTTACTTGGCTCGTGAAAAAGTTTGAGGCCTTGAGCAACACGACTCGTGGGCGTTCTATATTTTTTCTCTTCCTTTCCCCAATAAATTCTAAGTGATTGTCTTGGATATTATTAAGCCAAAGTTAGAAATCAATAATATTGATTAATGATCGGCACAAATCAACTGAAAAACCATACACTAATGGAGAGAATATTCACAACGTAAAGAACATAAATAAACGGGTAAAATATTCACAAAAGACTATATACAAACCTCGAACAACGATATTATTTGAGCTTCTTATTTTTTCCTGATAACATAATTTACGAGCGTTCTCATGTAATAATTATTTATGACTCTCAGCTTTAAAAGAACTAATAGAAATATAACTCGAGAAAAATCTATTTGCTTTACTGCTTGTCTTACTTCAATAATCTTCCAGTAGTAAAATTATGTCCAAAAAAGAGAGTTTTTTTCTGGAATCTTTTAAGTGCCTCAGGTATGGAATAGCACCAAGAAGAAAATGGAAAGACATCTGCGTTATCATTTTCCACGAAGCGACAAACAAGCTTTCCTTGCCTCCATCAACTATCTTTGAAAAGGTGCTAACCAAGTTTCCATATTATCTGTGCGAAGTTAAGACTTGCATCATTTTCACCCATGAAAAACGGAAAATAAAAGTTCAAGATAGCGATTTTATTTGCTCTTAGAAAAAATTGGATTCGTGACAATCTCCGGAAACATCATACAATTGAAATTCAAACTTTGGTCATAGGTGCGAAGTTCTTTAAAAATGTCTGATTTAAATTTGTAATGAAAAAGGTTCGCAGCTTTTTTCTCTTCGATTCCTTTTGTATCCCGAACTAAAATTAAAAACAAAACTGTGACAAGATGTTCTGCTACCAAACCCTTTTTGCGACTTTATTTCGACTCTAGCTACCTTCTCTATTTGTTACGCCAGCAAATGCATAGGAGTTGCCTTTTTTTTAGCAATAACTGGTAAACTTTGCCAATGGGGCACTATGATATGCATTTTAAGTATTCTCTTTTGTCATCCCTTTGGTTGATCGACGAGATAAGAGAAATGTTCTAGTATCAAGCAAGCCGCATGTGATTCGGATCTTGTTGTTGCAATTATCTGGACCATTAAAGGGACACTGTCACGGGTTGACATGCGCAGTAGCATACACTCTCTCCGAGACTTATCACGCTCGACGGCTATCATAGAAATATCAGTGAGTTGAAGAATTCTGCATATATTTTGCATTTAAATCAAATTTATCCAAAAGCAAATGCTCATGAAAGTGAAGTTCTTTTACTGGGGAACCTTCGGTGATCTTTTGTAAATGTAAAAGTGTTTGTGCGACGAAGCGCACAGAAAATAGTTCTCGTGGGTGCCCGTGCAAAGGGAGAAACGTGCTGTGTACAGATGAATGTAAATGTGGAACAAGCAATAAACCTTGCAGAAACAGGGTATGCATATAAAGTTGAATACATGCATATAAAGTTGTATACATTCACTTCTTTTGTGGCTCGAATGTCCAAAAAGCGTACGAAATAATTTGTGTATTCCCTTTCTTCAGGATTCGAAAGAGCAGTCGTCGTCTGCCTATATTTATGAAAGCCGTAGAGTTCGCCTGAGGCTTACCTGTATTCCAATTATAATGTGTAGTAGAATAAACATCTGCCTCGCAAATGCTACAAATGTCTGTGATATCTGGCATTATTTTATTTTCCTATCAGTAAAATC